TTTCTATTAAGCAAATGACATTTGACTCAGGGAAGACTCAAATTGAAAGCTGCAATGATTACGAATGGCATTCAAACATGGCATGGGATTTTCTATATTATAGTGAAAATAAAACTTTATGAATGACCTTATATTTCTCTACATGTTGTACCGATAATGCAGACACTAGCCACATTGCTGTCAGCAATTCCATACACTGCGAGAGGGCCGGCACAACTCATGATATATGATATACATGCATTGCAAGAACGGTTCTACTTCTCAGATGGTGTGATTCCAAGGTTAGTCATATATCTTGTATTTTTTGCAAACAAAATTTTAAATTTCAATATTTTTTTTACTTATTAGTGAAATATACTTAATTACATCCATGTGAACATGTAAAATGTCAGTACTGGTAACTCACAATATCAAAATAATTCCAGTGTTTGCTCTATTAGAAGCACATCTCCAATAAAATAAAAACACACCAAGAAATAGTGAGAGATTAATTCCCAGAAATTGGTGCAAATTGTTCAATCGAAAATGAGAAAGTCTGTAGTCAGGATCTGTTGTTAATGGAAATTGTATCTATTTGGTTCAAAATTGATGAATAAATTATTGAAAACTACATAAAATGTGTGAAATGTTGCAAACAAATTTGATGATATCATACAAAGAGATCACATCAATAGCATCACAGATTACGTTGAAGACATGCATCAGACATGATAGCTTTGAAAAGAGAGACCTGGTCATAAAAAAACAAAATGGCTCCAAGCATTGGAAAGATTTTGTTGATATTTTGAAGAAATGATTCCAAGATGAGTTGGCAGTGATTTTATATCCCAATCTGAATTGTTACTTGATATAGTGCTTTTAGATTTACATTTTTTCTTGTGTGAAAATTTCAGTTAGAACTCACTATATGTACACTCATTGAAAATTTCAGTTAGAACTCACTATATGTACACTCATTGAAAATTTCAGTTAGAACTCACTATATGTACACTCATTGAAAATTTCAGTTAGAACTCACTATATGTACACTCATTGAAAATTTCAGTTAGAACTCACTATATGTACACTCATTGAAAATTTCAGTTAGAACTCACTATATGTACACTCATTGAAAATTTCAGTTAGAACTCACTATATGTACACTCATTGAAAATTTCAGTTAGAACTCACTATATGTACACTCATTGAAAA